TGGGGTGGGGTGGGGTGGGGGAGAGAGGTGTCCTCGCCCCCCCCCCAGCCCGGGACGCGCCCACCGGGCCGGCGAGAAGTAACGGAGTTGGGCTGGGTGCCCGCCGCCCCGCTGAGCAGGGATTCCCCCGAGGGGGCCGGCAGCCTGCCTTGACTTACCGCCCGGTCCCCTTGCCCGGCTTTCCGGGGAGTACACCACCCCCAAGTAGGTAGATGATCGCAGCCAGGCTCGGGTGGTGTTGCAAGAAGAGAGTGTATTGTTCCTCCAACCGCCCCAGCAAGCTTCCTGGTTGGAAAGGATGAAGCGGGTTTGGTCTACCCGCCCCGGTGCCCCCCCAGCGAAACCCGCTGGAGGTTCTAAGATTGCAAAGTGCTCTCGTGGCTTGAACCCGAGCCGCGGTTAGCGTGGCCACTTAAGTCGAGCCCTGGGAAATGACCAGTCCGGCTTTTGCCTCCCTGACACTTCGTATCCACAGTGGAGCAAGTTGCCCCTTGACAAGCTATTACTCCCCCAGGTCGTTCAATCTTTTTTTTTTTTTTTTTTAAACGAGTGCTTCAAGTCCACCCCCACCCGCCACCCCCGCTGTCAGAGTGGTTTATTTATACCCTAAAAATAACACGTTCTATCAAAGATTTAAAAAGGGGGGGAAAAAAATTGCCTTTGGAATTTTGCTACATCCCAGAGGCTTGACCGAGGATTTGATGAATGCCTTGCTTCAGGAAGATATCTCACTTCCTTCCAGCGAATTTATCTTGAAGTGGTCAGGAAATTGAAGGAGGTGGACATTTTGAAGTGATTGCGAGCCGGCTCGATGTAGTCACCAAATGTGTTCGGGATTGTTTATAAAAGGACAAAGACATCTTTCTGAATGTGCTGTGTGGAGCGCTTTCTTAATAATCAATATGCCGTATTTTAGACCTATACCTCCAGCTCAAAATTGACCGTAATTGCATTTCAAAGGAAATCATCTTAAAACAGCTGTAATCATTCATTCAAACGGTGGGCAGGTTTTGTGTATCTGTTTCCCCTGGTCAATACAGCAGCAGTTCAACCATGCCAGTCTCCAGAACGGAAAATTTCTTCAGTTGGAAGTAGGTATTTCAGAATACAGTGCCCTTAATTTTCAAAGCACCATCCTAGGATTTCATGTAGAATCAGAAATATTTCTTTATATTTTATAAAGAATAGTGTTTGACCAAAATTTATGCTTTATGTACATGGTGTTTGGCAATTGGGCATAACATTTGATTGAATTGAGCCAGTCAGCCAGACAATGGCTTTGGAAAGCTTGGAATATTCACAGTTGTTTTGTTAAGTGTTGAGAAAAATTGTATTTGCGTGTTAGTCGTTTTCCTTATTTTTGTCTTCTTTCTTTCATTTTTGTTTGTTGTTGTTGTTGGTGGTGGTGGTGGTGGTGGTGTGTGTGTGTGTGTGTGTTACTGTTTTTTCACTATTCTGGAGTTCAAATTCAGCCTTGCACCTGCTAGATAAGTGCTCTATCAGTTATAACTCGTTTTTCTATTGTAAGCTTTTTCTCCTGGCCTAGTGTTGCAGATTTATAGTTTAAGACATTTTTCATAAGGAGTCACTTTGGTGCTCCCATTCCGCTCCCTGGCCAGCTTTATACCTGCACGTGCAGTTTTAGAAACGAGGAGGTCTCATTCCTCTCTCTACCTAATGATACTGGGTGTTTATGGGACTTAAGATGGATCTTTGGTTTCAGAAAATACAATTCAAGTAACACAAAATACAGATGTTCTTTCTTGTCACTAGGTGTCAGCATTAATTTAATTAAAATCTTTGTGAAATTGATAGAAAAGAGACATTGCCTGGTTAGGTTCTTTGTATATATCTTTTCAATTTAAATGGTTGTTTTTTACCTAAATTGTTTGCCAAAAAATCAGGGGACTTAAGTGCACGTGCTGGCATCTGCTATACAAATCACTTCAGCTCCTTCCATTGTGTTTTCTAGAGTGAGAAGTGAGGCTGGATAAGCTCGGAAGGGAGCAACAGTAAGAACACAATTAGCTTCCATTAGGCAAAACTGTGACCCATAGGCTAGCTCATTCATTGTTGGGATAGACATTTTGCTTTTTTTCTTCTTCCCAGTTTTCTTTCTTGCCTCATCCTATAAGATGTCAGTCTTGCCTATTCCTGGCACCTAACTTAAAAGGCAGGTACATAATCCAAGTACTTAATATTCTGTATTTTCTATAAAAGATGTCTGACCTGAAGTTGCTACAATATATTTCAATTATTTTTCCAGGTTAGTCGGTGATAGTCTTTGCCTCCTGTAACCATAAATAATTGAAATTTGATTTTCTGGTCTACTGATTTCTAAGGGTCTGTCTGAATACCTTATTAAATTGGCTCTCTTTCTAACATGAAGTTTTGCTCCTCAAACATAGGCAGTCTGAAAATTCTGGTTCCACAAAAATAGTTTTAAGTATTTAATTCTTATAATGTATTTGGCTGAATATAGCTCTTCAAATGACAAGGTATGTATTTTGAGTTGTTTGCTTTCCCAGTAAGACAGACACATTAGTGCTGGCGCAGCTTTGGTGTGTCACCCAGACCCTTAATAAGTACCTGCAAGACTTTGAAACAGGTAGCCAGGGGTAAGACTTGAGATTTTACCCTTAGGGAGCATGTCAGAGATAACTTTGAACGTGTTACTTTGGCTTATGGGTCCAGTATTCTGTATATGAGAGGATTTTGAAGATAGTAGAGATACTGTCAATGGTTCCCCCTCTAATTCCAGTGGTGCTCATGCAAATAGAGTGGAACTGTTAGCATTTTAGAGCATAAATATGACTGCATGTTAAATCAAGAAATATTACAGTCAGCAACCAAGTATATAAAGCCATGCTCTGTCCCAAGACACTTATCTAGATCACTCTAGAGTATGGACTCTGCTCTTTATAGTTCCTTTCATGGTTTGTTTGTTTGTTTGTTTTTTAACATATTAGAAAGCTTTAGTTATAGATTGGGTTGGTAGTAGGAAATATGAAGGACAATGAAGAGGCCTTTTTCTTTTGCTTTGAATTGGGCATCTTCTTGGCTTTGTTTCTCACTGTATGCCTGAAGTTCTTGACCTTTTTGTCTCAGTATATCTTTATACTCTTTGTTAAAGGTTATTGATGATCCCAAGAGCTTACCTTAAACAATTCCACAAAATGCAAGAATACAAAGCATACACCCTAACTGTCAGAATTACAATGCATCACGGTATTACTGTATTGCTCTAGAAACCTCAACTGGATACCTGTGAGCAGGTGAAAGAGTCACCTCTTTTCCATTATGAGACTAGTTTGGCCATGCAGAGTCCTGAAAGGGGCTTGGAAACCCCAGGAGTCCCACCTACCTTGAGACCCACCACCCTGTTTACAGAGTATACTGTAATTTTGTGGATCTTGTTTTCTTCCCAGTTCTCTCCTAGCAGGTACTTAAGTAAAGGTAAGGAGTATTGTCTTGTAGGGACAGTTCCTCCCTTCTGCTCATTCTTCCTGAGAACTCACAAAGGAAGTTCAACCAACAGTCCTGTCACAGTATCATTATGGAAACGTAATGGACATACCCTTCCCAGCACATTTACACAGCACCAGAATAATAAAGGCAGAAAGCAAAAATAAAAGAGTGTTGAAGTTAAGCAGGAAAAACTTCTTCTGGACCATGGGTTTTACCAGGTAGTATAGGTACAACATTACCTTCAAAAAACCCTGGAAAATACTGAATAATCTGGGAGGATTGGCTGAAAGGGTTGGCATGAGGTTGAATCTGGGAGTATCAAGTTTTAAATGTGCTGTTGGGTAGTTTCTACCTATACTTGAACTTTATTCCACAGAACAGTGAAGTGTAAGAAACTATTTTTGGTATTCTCTAGGATTGACAGACTTTGGTGAGGAGAAATGTCTAAGAACAGTAGCAGAACAGGGGCTGGGCAGAGGGCTCAGTTAAAACTCTTGCTTAGCAGTCAGAAGAATGGGAGTCAGATCCCCAAAGCCCACATATATGCCAGGTAGGCATAACATCCCACTTGTAATTCTAGCCTCTAAAGGTAGAGATCCCTGAAACAAGCTGCCTTGAGCCTCGCTGGTATTGGGAAGCCCTGGGTGTAAGAGACCGTGCTTCAAAAGAATAAAGGAAGAGAGGTTGTGGAAGTTTACCAACATTAACCTTATTTCTCAGCATGCGTGTGTGCCTACACAGGTGAACACACATGCATACAAAACATGAAAAGAAGGAAAAACAACTTGAATCATTCGCTAGAAGAAGCTATATATTTGTATCCCCTGTACTATCATTTGGATCTCGGATGTCTCCCAAAGGTCCAAGTGTTAAAGACTTGGTTACCAGCTTGGCACTGTTAGGATCTACCCAAGAATTAAGTAGTGCCTACTAGTGAGTCTTAGATCGCTGGAGCTATATCCTGAAAGGGGATGGATACAGGAGCCCTCATGGATGGGTGCTCTTCATCCAACAAACCCTCTGTCAAGTCTTTTTTGTTTTTTATGACCCGCTGAGTTTAATTATAGTTGTCTGCATAAGCATGGACTTTTAAAGTGGATGTTGGCAATCCTAACTCTTAGCTGGTGCACTGGGCCATCTCCACAGCTTTCCAAGATCATTTTTTTTTTAAATGAAGGATTCAAGCAAACCTTTTTTTTGTTTTTTGTTTTGTTTTTTGTTTTTGTTTTGTTTTGTTTTGTTTTTGGTTTGGTTTGGTTTTGCTGTTGTTTTTAAGTAGAGTCTCATGTAGCTCAAGCTAGCTTCAAACGTGCTATGTAGCCAAGGGTAACGAACCTTGGATCCTCTGAACCCTCCTACCCTCATGGAGCTTAAACTTACTTAAAACAGGCTCTTCTAAAAGTAACTCTAGTATAGTTAAGGACAGTAATGCTAGAAAGGGAGTTAGAACTACTGAGTGAAGTCGAGAAGAGAATCACAGAAAGTTTCAGTGAGGTGCCATCATCTCATACGAGGAAAACGGGAGCTTGCAGGCTCGGTCAGGCTTAAGATGGTCCGTTTATTCAATCTGAAGTGCAAAATGCGTGAAGTAGGAGCTTGGGAGAAGAAACCTCTATGAAACGTTTTCTTTTGCTTCTAGAATCTTTGAATTTATATGCACAGGCTATAATATTAATAAAGTACCATGTACAGTGGTGTAAGAATCCATATCATTCAGTTTATCGAGGTGTTGTTCAGCTTTCTGTCAACCCGAGAAAGGAGGAGGAGATAGGCTGAAGAAGAGAACGGTTTGTCTGGGGAATCTTGGGGTTCTAGTTCTTGACTGTGCAGACCTACTGCCTTGAGGCCACTGGTGATGGTGCAGCAGCGTTTATTTGCTCTGTGATAGGCAAGGACAAAGAGAGCTGGGTTTCCCCAGTCCCCTAACAAGTTACAGCTCCAGTGATCTCAGACTCACCAATAGGCCCTTCTTAAAGTTTTGGGCAGCTCCTA